ATGGATGGATGGATGGATGGATGGATGGATGGATGGATGGATGGATGGATGGATGGATTACCTGGATGACTAGATCATGACCTCAAAAGCCTTTTCCTGACAAAAACGGCCACTCTCAGCTTCCGTAGAGGTGACAATGTGGCCTTTTTACTTTTTAATTTTGTTTCTTCGACATGTTTTGTTTTGGTTTATTTTGCATGTTGCTTTGCATTCATTTAATTTTTTTGTGATGTTTTGGACTTATTTCCTTGAATTTCTTTTTGGATTCATTTGGGTTGTTCGTGTTTTCTGATTATTATTCTTTACGTTTGAGGCCATGTTTGCTGTCCATACCAAGGGTGGAGAGGCCACTGGTTCCAACACAGGTGTTCTCCATCAGCTGATGAGGTGCAAGCCAGAGTTGGGGAAATAAAAAGGCAGACTGTGGGTGCAGAAGGAGGAAGGAGAGCAGGAGACAAACAGCCGGAGGAAGCTGGCTGGCAGGAGCGGAGGGCACAGTGGCAGCGGCCCATGGGGGGGCACCTGCGAGGCGGTCCCGTGATCAGAGCCCCTGCTGAGATGTGGAGCGAGGATCCAGCTCCAGCGGACTGAACACTATCCTGCATGTTTTAGGTGTTTCCCTGCTCTTCAGCAGGTCCTCAGAACCTTTGGAAGCTTGTTAAACACACATTGCAACAAATCAGGTGTGTCAAAGCAGGGAAACATTTAAAACATGTAGGATAGTGTTCCTCGAGGACCAGGGTTAAGAAACACTGCTTCAGACTATCCGGACATATTACAACTGGAGACAGGACTAGAAGCCAGAAGTTGAAGGCACATATTGCAAGTGCCCCCTAGTGGCTGGCTGTAGTACAATTGTTATGCTCTCTACCTCCATGTTTGAGTTTAGATTTAGAGCCTGAGCAGTCAGGCCAGAATTATATGTTTAATGACTGGGCCTGGTCTGGCTCGCTCTTCAGTGGTGTGCTTTTAATAAGCTTAAGATAAGCAAAGCACAGAGAAAAGTAAAAGAGAACATACCACCTAAAATTGTGTTAATCTAATCTAATTTAATCTGTATTGTGTTTATCTTTGTATTTATCAGTGTATGATGCATAAAATTTACCACAAAAACCATCTGTAAAGTTGAAGAGTTGTATATACAGCGGGTAAAATAAGTATTGAACACGTCAACATTTTTCTCAGTAAATATATTACTAGAGGTGCTAATGACATGAAATTTTCACCAGATG